TTTTAAAATTACCTTAGATGCCAATAATATGCTACAATTGAAAATCATGTTCAGTATGCTCATGAGGGTAGACTATGTCAGGATGGTAGGTTACTAGTCATAGGACAAACACATGTAGCCATCTGTGTCTTAATGATCAAATTCTTACTGTTCAAACTTTCAGATGTTTCTATTATACATAATAATCAGCATCACCGTGTATTAAGCATGTCTACTGTACCAGGCATTGTCTTCCTTGTTTTCTATAAACATTATTTCCCTTAATCTATTTAACAACCAAGTGATTTGAATAGCAGTGTCTCCATTCTGCAGTTGTGGAAACTGGAGCTCAAATAAATGAAGTAACAAACTTATTCAAGGTCACATAGCTTTTAGGGTAAATGATGGGAGCTTGGATTTGAAACCAGGTTTATCTGACTTCAAGATCCATTTTCCTTCCTAATTGCTCTGCTTCCTCATCTCTCAAAGAAACTGTCTGCTTTCAGCAGGATCATAGTGCTTGCAAAGTGCTTTCTACAGTCAGCACTGGTATAAGGAAGCCACTGAAGACAGTGGAAGTGAGGAGAGGCTTTTGGTGGTGATGGTTTTTGTTTTCAAATATCACAAGACTGGAAGATGCTTATGTCATGGAGACCTTACATGAATGAGGCTGGCATCTGAGCCCTTGGAGTTTTCTCTGCCAGTTTCATCCATTTCTTAAAAAGCTTAATTGGAATAAATGAGAGGTCTTAGCATTTACATGAACTTGTTTTTTTTTTTTTTTTTACATATGACATTTTTAGTCCATAGGGCTCATTTATTAATTATGCACAGCAAGGGAAATAAGATTTTTAATTTATTCATATTTTTCAGTGAGGCAACAGAGATTTCAGAGAGAGATTTAAAATTAGGTTGGTGAATATATTTTGCACTAAATCCTAGAGACATTTTCTGTTACATTTTGCTGCTTTTGTACTTTTTACTGACTCTTGAAAAAACAGATATACCAGTAAAACTGAGACTTCTTTCAGTAAACATTTCTTATCTTGTATGAGGTTACCACCAAAACACTTTCCCCATTAGCATCCTTTTAACAAAACACAGTACATTGATGGAATCTGATCAGTTAGCATTTCCCAAACCCAAGAAATGATGATTGATGCTTACTTAAGAGTGATGTTTAAGTACTCATAAATTTCTGTTTTAAAATGTTTATTGAGGCTTGACAAATAGTAAGTGTTGCTAATCACAGTCAGGTATTTACGGTGCTTTCTTTTTTTTTCCCCTTAACCTGAGCTTAAATTTGCTCCTGATGCTTTATTCTAATCTTGGGGTTTTGTTTTGTAGGAATTAGGATGAAAAGAATACATTCCATCGCTCAAAGGAGTTCTCTCCCCATCAGCTTTTATATTTTTAGGAGAGTTCAACCAAGTCTTGAAATTTCTTATCTTTCACTCTAATAAAACTAAGGATTACTGATGGGAAACCATAGTTAAGATTTCCCTTTCTCCTTTGAAATGTTTTTTTCTTAAGTAGAGAGAATTAAGCAGTTCCCATCCCTAATCTCCTAAAGCCAGAGCCAAAGAGTGAAAATGAGACAGGGATAGTGGGTGTAGTCAGAGTAGGGTGGGGGCCTCCAGAGAAAAAAACAGAGCAAGATAACTACAGTCAGAACAATGTAACAATATGCAAAGAAGTCCCTATCAGAACTGTGTGTTAAGCATTATGCAAAGTCAGAGTCACACTAATTCTCTAGGGTAAAGATTTGTATACATGACTAGGAATATAGAAATTCTTCAGTGAAATCCCTTAAAGCTCAAAAGGCCAGGAGCAACTTCACCTGGAATGTTTGAGTGTTCTGCAGATAAAGAGAAGTATCTCAACATAAACCATCACTTTATTGTATCAATTACATCATGACAATGTAAAATTTACCTTATCCTCTAAAAGGCCCAGTTTATTTTAATTGTAACTATGTGCTATTTTCCCTTCTCTAATCGTAATCTGCAACCTAGGCAAAAGACTACTTTGGTAAGCAATCTCAACTATAAACAACCCAAGCAAACAGACAACAACCCAGCCCACCTTGGGGGCAGGGCAGGTGGTCTTACAAGTCTTCACCCCTAACCCTTTACCTCATTCCTGAAAATCCTCAATTGCGCATAAAACCCCTAGACAATGAGCCAACAAGGGACTCTCTTGTCCCCTCCTGACGTGAGCCTGGAGCTCTGTCCTCTCACTTTATCTCTAAATAAAAGCCTGTACCTTGCTCTCCTACCTTGACTGTGAAGCTCATTCTTTGGCTTCGTGAACAAGAACCCCGGCATCAAAAACACCAAGAGCAATTGGGTCCTTTCAGCGTGAGGCCTCTTCATGAAGACAGAACTGGTAACATGAGGACCAGAATCTTACTCCACAGGCTGTAGTGCTTGAAAAATAAATGCCTTTGTAGATGCTTTCATTCATTTTCATTAATGCCAGACCACAGAAATTTTCTTCAACTTCTGTTTTGGTCTCTTCAGGATTACAAATGCCATTTCAAATTGGGTGATTATTTTGTAGTTAAATCTATTCCTGAAACATTTAATATGTAAACTGATGGACCTATGACTTGGTCTGTTTCATCATTTCTGAGATCTATGTCCATGTCTCACAAGTGCAGTTGCAAGCCTCCCTTTCCTATAGAATTTCACATATTCACGTATGCCAAATTTCTGTTAGTGATTCTTTGATGGTAATTATTTTCTTCTACCCCAAACTGTATCAGTTCAGATTTTCATATAAACTTTTATTTTTTTTAGTTTTGCTCTGTTTTCAAGAAATGTATGGAGAATACTAACACAACAGTATGATTCAAGTCCATGAAGCACATGTCAAAATGTAATCTATATCATATATCTTTTCTCAAAATATGGTTTAGATTTGGGCTTGTTTTGTGTTTTTGTAAAAATTCAGTTGTCTTCATTAGATGATCTTACTCTATGAAAGAATGCTTATAAAAAAATCAGCAGTCTTAGGAATAGGATTTATCAAATAAAAATACCAGATACCCAGTTAAATTTAAAATTCAGATAAACCATGAATACTCATTAAGTATCAATGTGTCCTAAATATTACATGAATTTTCTAGTATATCCCAGCTGTTATATGGGATATACTTAACGCTGAAAAATTTTTTCATGGTTCATCTGAAATTCCAATTTAACTGAGTGTCCTGTATTTTATCTGGCAACTATATTCAGAAGGCATTATGGTAGTGCACCCAAAGATACATGGTTCTGGTACTTGAGTAGCTGGGTAGCTTTGGGCATCTCCCTTAACCTACCTACCTAAATTTTATTACCTAAAAAATGAGAACAAATGATAGTTATTTGCACAATTTCTATAAAGATTCGAAGTTATTCACTGAAATCATCTGACACATAATAGATTTCCATTTAAGAGTAGCTGTTATCATCAGAACAAAGAAAAAACACAAATTCAAGTTACCAGTTTTTCCATCTTTGTAATGAATGATTATAGCACCCAGCAGCTAAATAGTCATTAGATTGATAATAGAAGAATCCACCCAGATGTTGGTGACTGTTTACCAGATCAGAGATTTCACCAGTAATAAAATATCCACATGTATTGACCTCTCTTCTTTCTTATACTACTTGCTTCCTCTTACTTTGCTTACTAAAGATCATATAACTTTTTAGTATCAGAGCTCGAATATATGTTGCCTTTTCACATTGTCTTTTTTCCTGAATTATAATTTTATTTCAGTCCTTTTCTCGAACACATATATTTTAAATTGTATTAGTTTTTATTGAGATAAAATTTATGTACTATAGAATTCACCATTTTGAAGCATACAATTCAGTGATTTTTAGACTATTCACAAGGTTATGCAACTATCACCACTATCTAATTCCAGAACATTTTTATCATTCCCAAAAAGAAATTCCATACTCATTAGCAATTACTCCCCCACCCCACAGCCCCATCCCCTGGCAACCACTATTCTTCCTGTCTCTATGGATTTGCCTACTCTGGACATTGCATATAAATGGAATCATACCATATGTGGCCTTTTGTGTATAACTTATTTGACTTAGTATAATGCTTTCAATGTTATGCAACATGTATCAGTACTTCATTCTTTTTATGGTTGAATAATAAATAGTTCATTGTTTGGATATATACCACATTTTCTTTATCCATTTATCCATTAATGGACACTTGAGCTGTTTTTACTTATTGCCTGTTAGGAATAATTCTGCTATGAACAATGAACATTTTTGTAAAAGTTTTTGTATGAGCATTTGTTTTCTTTTCTCTGGGATATGTGTATATGATTGCTGGGTCATATTGGAACTGTATGTTTAGCATTTTGAGGAACTTCCAGACTATTTTCCAAAGTGACTCACCATTTTACATTCACATCAGCAATGCAAAGAGTTCCAATTTTTCCACTTCCTCTCCAGTTATTATGTTTACTTTTTAAATTATTGTAGCTGCTTTAGTGGGTATAAAGTGGAACATTATTGTTTGATTTGCAATTCCCTAGTAATTAATGATATTGAACATCTTTTCATGTATTTATTGGCTACATGTATATCTTCTTTGCAGAAATATCTTTCAAAATCTTTTGCCCATTCTTAATTGGATTATTTGTCTTTCTATTGTTGAATTATAAAAGTTTTCACATTTTTTTTACCAGATAAATGATTTTCAAATATTCTCTCCCATTCTCTGAGTTCTCTCTTCTGGGACAGTGTCCTTTTGATGGGTAAAAGCTTTTAGTTTCGATTAAGTCTTATTTGTTTTTTCTTTGGTTTCTTGTGGTTTTGGTTCCATATCCATTGTCCTTTCTTCCTTAAAGAACAAAGCAAAAACTAAACCAGAAGTGAAGAGACATGAGTTTTATTCCCAGCTTTTCAATTTGAAATGTGTGACCTTAGGCACACATTGAAACTCATTTTGAACTCAGTTTCCACATCTGTGAAAAGAAGCTGGATTCAGCAGAGCAAGCGCTTTGAACTTTTTTGTGAATAAATTCTCTCTATGAAACCCCCTAGGCTAGTAGTTCTCAATGTGGGTAACATTTGGCAATCTCTGGAGACATTTTTTGGTTGTCACACCAGGGAGGGGTAGTACTGGCACCTAGTGAGCAGAGGTCAGGGGTGCTGATAAACATCTAACAAGGCACAGGACAGCTTCCACAATGAAGAATTATGGAATCCCAAGGGACAATAGTTTGAGGTTGAGAAATCCAGCTCTAAAACTGATTGTGAATGTGTGACATCCTGGTCTGGGTGATGGTTACATGAGTGCATACACAGATCAAAATTCGTCAAGCTGTACACTAACACTTGTGCATTTTATTGTATGTACCTCAATATAAAAAAAAACTAAAGGAAATAAAGAAATAGTTCAAAACATAAAAAGATAAAATAAAATTATGATTCTGTTATTACAGCTTATTTTAAGTGTTAGTCTTTGAGTTTATCTGCAGGAGCCAGATCATTTTGTGCTCCTAGCTCTATAGGTACTAGCCTGGAGTGGGTACTAGAAAGGAGAAGTACCAATAATTCTTGCAAGTGAGGAGATATTTTAAAAAATATTTTCAGGGTTTTTAAAAACTATTGTGTCTTTTAATATGAAGAAAAAAATATTTCAATGTAAATACCTCCAAATTAAGCCTTATAGATACATTCTTGTTATTGCGTCCTTTTCACTGGGGTTTTTGGAACAAAATTGTTTTTGTGAAATAGTTGGTACATGCTATGAAGTATGTAAAATCATTCATAATAGAAAGAAATATAGAACAGTTTGATGGAAGGAACCTGCAGGTGATATGTCTTTGTATCAGTGACTTCTCTGAATTCAAAGAAAGTTAATATGATTATTCCAGCTGATCACTTCATTTGAACTTTCTCCCACACCATCTACTGGAATCTATTGATGGACTTGAGTTCTGTAAATAATCTGTAAAAAATAAAGAGACAATAACTTGAAATATGTTTAAGCATTTCTAAAGATCTTCACATATAAAAAGCCATTAAACTTGCAGGTATTTTTTCCTGTGATAATAGGGCTGATTTTTCATGCCCTGCACCATTAGATATCACTGTTACCACCACCCCTACAACCACCATCCTCACTGTCACAGATTTTGTGTTCTAAGCACTTTACAAGTAAGTCTGTGTCATTTCTCCTGATGAAAGTTCTATGAGGGACTTTTTTCTACATCCCCATTTTGCAGATAAGGGGGGAATATACAATAAAGTGGTAAAATAGTTGCTAAGCCATATTCCCATATTAAACCTTTTCTTGTTTATCAAAACTATGTCCTATTTCAACAACGAAGAAAGCATCTTTATTGCTAAATCTGTAAACATTCATGTCCCTAATTTTTTGGCAACCCATGTAATGGCAGTTAAAGCCTGAGTTATTTCTAAGTTCTTTCTAAGAAGAGATTTCTTAGGATCATTTGTTTCTCTCAAAAATAAATGCATGGACCTTGAAGCCACTACACTTTTCCATCTCTGAGTGCCTACATGCACACATGTGTGTATATGTGATATTAAAATTGCACGACTTCTGCAATATTTAAGTAATGGAAGAATTTTTGTTTGACTTTGTTTCTGTGTACAGGAAGCAGTGAAAGAAAACAACAAGAAAAAAGAAATGGAAGAGAAGATTAGGAGGGCAAAGCTTGCAAAAGAGAAAGCTGAACAAGAAAAGTTAGAACGCCAGAAGAAAACGAAACAGCTCATTGATATAAACAAAGGTATGAACTACTTCCAGTTTTTTAAGAGGTGTAAGAAATGCACAGTATTTGCACTTAGTTAATTTTGGACTATAAAGTGACTGTGTTCATGGTAGAAAATTCACAATATTAGTTCCTTGTGTCAAAGTTCTCTCAGGTTATTATCTCTATTTCTTGTCACCTTACTCTGAGCCCTCAGGATTTTTGATAATCAATGCAAGGTAATATGTTGTTGAAACAGTCTTTTGCTCTTCATTTATTTTACCAAATTATATTATGTTCTAGTTGAGGCATTAGTGAGGAAAGAAGAGGGTGAGATGAAAAGACAAAAACTCATGGGGAGATGAACCTTACAGCTCTAATTTCATTTTGTTGACACATGTCTGTTGACAGTGCAGTAACAATTAACCCTCCTCCTTAGGGGCTTGAACATTTCAAGTCATAATGGATATTGACAGCACAGTTATAAGTTGAAAAAAATAAAAAGAGGCATTTTGTTCATGTGTGAGCATAAGAACGAAATTCTGGTATGTCCACATAAAGTAAATTGTTATCTTGGTTAGCAAGAATGACTGTATATTAAGGTGGGTTTTGTAGTTTTATTTTCTTTTATTTTTAAAGAAGAGAGGCTAAGTGAAGAAAATGATTAGCACCAGGTAGCTACACTCTGAAAATTTAAGAATGAAAAAGCATAGCCTTTGCCACTGTGGGCTGAGAATTTAAAAATAAAATCTAAATGAGATACAAGATAATATGATTAATATGGACTGTCTGTTTCTAACTATGATGACAGTAAAAATTGCAAGCACTGCATGATGTTGAACATATGCCAAGCACTGTTCTAAGATTTTCACATGTTTTAAGGCAGTTAATCCTTATAACATCTCTATGAGGTAGGTACTATTATTATCTCATTTTACAGGTGAGGAAACCAAGGCTCAAAGACATTTAAGAATTGCCCAATGTCCCACAAATAGGAAGTATTAGCACGAAGATTAGAATCCAAGTAGTCCGGCTATAGAATCTTGGTACTTACCAATGCCATTGTCAAAACAAAACAACAAACATATAGCACTTAGAATGTACCAGGAACTAGCCAAGAAGTTTTACATATATATAACATATTTAATACTCATAAAACCCTATTAGGAAAGCACTACTATCTCATTTTAAGATGAGGAAACTGAGGCACCTAGAAATCAAGTTAACTTGCCCAAGTTCACAAAAATAGTGAGAGTTAGAATGAAGATCTGAACTTAGGCAGTTTGTGGCCAGAGTTAATTACTAATTATTATGTATATGAATTGATTACTCATTATAATTACTGATAATTATCAATTATTCTTCAGTAATGTTTCTTCATGCCTATCATCTGAAATGATATCTATACCATTAATTTATTCTCCATTTCTTTAAAATATGTAAAAAATTTTAGGAATTGACTATGGTTATCTTTTCTATCTAGGAAATAAATATAATAACAATTGTAAAAGAAGAAAAAAGTAAATAGCCAAGGTAAAATGGAATAGTATCTGCATAATGTAGCAAACAAACTTCAGAATAAGGATAAAAAAAACTGGTCCTGACTGAAGACCACTCAATTAGGAAAAGCTTAGAGCACAGCATGGCAATAGTGCTGAAAGTTACTCCCTTCTGTGCGTGGAGGAGTAGTGAGAGAAGAGGACAAAAGCAGTAGGAGACAGATTGTCCATTCTCTTGGCTGTGCTAAGTATGAAAGCTGTGGGAAGCCTATGAATGTTGACAAACAGGAAAGTCTTGTGCTCAGACTTCTTAGAAAGATCATTTTAACAGTAATATAGAAGATGGATTGGAAAGGGAAGGACCTGAGACAACAGAGGTTATGAGGGTTTTATCATAGTCCTGACAAGAGATGAAGGTGGCCTGAATTAACACACTAGTAGTGAGGTTAGAGAAGGTTGAGAATAAGAGGTGTATTAGAGTTCCACAGAATGTGGATATACAGAGACAGACTTATTTTAAGGAATTGCCTTGTGGGATTATGGAAGTTAGCAAGTCCAAAATCTGCTGGATAGGATGGCAAGAATACCTAGGGAAGAGCCAATGTTGCTGTTCAAGTCTGAAGGCATTCTGCTCACAGTTTCCTCTTGCTCAGGGGAGGTCAATCTTTTGATCTATTCAGGCCTTGAAAATGATTGGATGAGGCCTACACATATTATAAAGGGCAATGTGTTTTACTCAAAATCTACTGATCTAAATGTTAATGTCACCTAAAAAACTTTCATGGAAATATCCAGAATAATGTTGGGCACCATGGCCCAGCCAAGTTGACATAAAATTCACCATCGTCACAGGGATGTTAACAGGTAGAACTGACTGACCCTGATGATTGATTAGATGTGGAAATTGAGGGAAGGAGGCATTAAAGAAAGTGGCTGGCTCCCTTCATAAAGAAAAAATAATAATTCAAAATTAGAGCAGATTTTTGTCAGGAAAGTTGTAATGATTAGTGTCATTTTGAACATCTTTCATTTTCAGATGCCTGGTAAAAATGGGAAATGTCTAAGAAGCCACTGTATGTGTTTGTATGAAACTCAGTAAAGAGGTTTGGACTAGACAGAATTGGGAATCGTTGTTTTTTTATGAGTAAAGTTAAGGTATATTAATTTTCTAGGTCTTCTTTAGCAAAGTACCACAAACTCAATGGCTTAGAACAATAAACATTTATTGTCTCACAGTTCTGGAGGCCAGAAGTCTAAAGTCGAGCCCTAGGCAGGTCTTTGCTCTTTCTGAAGATGCTAGGAAAACAACTACACCAGCCCACTCTCCCAGCTTGTGGTAGTTCCTTGGCTTGTGGTAGCGTAACTTTGACCTTCACCTGGCATTCTCCCTGTGTGCAAGTTTGTCTCTTCCCATGGCCCTATTTTATTAAGACACCAGCCATATTGGGTTAGGGTCCAACCTACCCAATCATCTTAATGAGGGTCATCTTAATCAGTCACACGATTCAACCCATAACACATGCGTTTGAATGAGATCGCCAGGTTAACGTATAAATCAGAGGTTCTGAAAGTATTTGGTCTCAGAAGCCATTTATATATTCTTCAAAATCATTGAGAACCCCAAATACCTGTTGCATTTTGGGGTTTTTTATATATATATATATATATGGACATTTATCATATTAGACTTAAATCGGAGACACAAATAATGTAGCATAGTTTTTAAATTTTATTAAAATAACAGTAGCAAACCTATTACATGCTAAATTATATTTTTTATGAAAAGTAGCTTTATTTTCCAAAAATCCTCTTAAAAACTTAGTAAGTAGAGAAAAAACTAGTGTTGGAAATCTCTTCAAAGTCTGGCTCAATAAAAGACAGCTTGAGTCTCGTACCTGCTTTTACATTCAATCTAATGCAGTATCATTCGTCATGTAGCCTCTGGAAAACAAAACACTCATGAAAGAATGAGAGAAAAAGGCAAAAATGTGTTTTGACCCTGCATATATGAAATGATCTCAGAAGCCCTCACAAGTCCCCAGACCACTCTTTGAGAATCTCTGGAGTGAATAATGAAAAGAGCAAGTAGTCAAGAGAGTCTGTCCAGTTTTGTGCCAAGAACATGACCTTGCTCCCACACCATCCCCCTCCCTCTGCCTGAGTGTTTATCAACCTTTCACTATTTCCCTAAAGATATACCTATAATAGGAAGGGAGGAAGGGAGGGAGGGAGGGAGGGAGGGAGGAAAAGAAGGAAGGAAATACTTTGATTGTGTCTGTAGTATATATTTCTATTTGCCAGTATTTTGTTAATTACCTCTTCAAATATCAGTGAAGCCATAGTATAAAGATCCAAATAAGTCTTTATGTAAATGTTTAGCTGAGTGATCTGAACGGGAAAGCCAATTTAAAATAGGATTCATCTTTTGTGTATTATTACTCTATCGCTATTTACAGATCATATAGTAAACTTCACCATTAGGTTCTTGATTTGTGGCCCCTATGTTACAAATACTTTGATTATTATTGTTTTACACTTAAGAGTATGTGTGTATTAGTACTTATAAATATGTTTCAAAAAGAGATCCTTCCATTGGTATTGGAATGAACTTAAGAAGATGAAAACTTGCAGAAAAGAAATAAGAACCGAGTTGGGTAGTTGGGTGTCCAGTTGGAACTCAGTGTCGGTGAGGTTCTCACAGTGTCCTATAAAAGATGCTGTTGTTAACTAGGTAGAAATCAATTGCAGAGCCTGGGAGGAGGCATGGTGGAACTAAATAAAATGTGAATCCTTAGGAGACATGAGAATGAGGTACAATCAGAAAGTGATTTAGAGAACTTTAAATATGTCCAATTAGAACCGTATTATCCACTTTCCACTGAAAGAATGTTGTAATTGTCCTTTCCACTGAGAGAGATATAGAAAATTTGATTGCCATCACGAGATACATATTATATAGAGTGTAGAAATATTTCATGCCCATGTGATTAGAGATACATACCATGGGAATCAGGGTCTTACCTCTAACAAAGGTAGTCAAATCAAGAGTCCCTTGGGCAAAGAAGCCATTTGAAAATTACAAGCAAGTTTAAAAACACATATATGCTTTCTGAAAAGTTTGTTTCGTATCAACTTAGTACAACTGCAAAGCCCTCCCTTTTTTAAAATCTCCCATGATCCCATATAGCTAATAAGTAACAATAGTAAGATATATTTATCTGGCATGCAAAATAATATAATTCATCAAAGAGAAATATTTTCAAATTTAATTATTCAGGAAAATAATAGGATGAAGCAAACACAAAAGATTATTTCTGTAATCTAGATGTGATCAACTGTGCTCAGAATTAAGTAAAGGTATCATGAAAACCAGGCTGCCAGAGAATTTATCTTTCAAGTTAAAGCCGTAAAAAATACCATGTTTCAACGCTCTGTTTTGAGAGAATTGAAGATCAGAAGGCAAAGCCTATGATAAGAAATACAGTACTTTTTTAATTATAAAGAAGAAAAAAAGACATGATTATATGTTATAGAGACAGTAATTTTTGCAGACATTGAATGGCATAACTGAAAAATTATTAGTCTGTATGTTTAAAAAGTGGAGAGCATTCCTAGCTGTGCCACCAACTTGCTTTGTGACCTTGTTTAGTTCCTTTATCTCATTATGCCTCAGTTTCTTCATCTGTAACATAGGAAAATGACATTTACCTACTATCACTTTAGTGAATATTAAATGAGATAATTAAGTACATTACATAACACGTGGTCTAGAATATGCTTGCTGCTCCTGCAAGTGTCATTTTGTGCTCATTGAAGAATCTGGAAAAAGTTCAAGACATATTCCCCATCCTTAAGAATTTTAGAATTTGTCAGAGAGATATGTAGGGAAGGAAAAACTGTTTTCCCACTACCCATGTTGGGTTGATTGGCAGTGGCTATGTAAATTAGACTGAAAAAGACAGATCAACAGAGAAAAATATATTTATTAATGCATGTATCGTGCAAAGGTTTGCCAACACTCAGTATGAGTAACTCAAAGGGGTGGTTAGAACTTGGGCTTATGCAGGTGTACCTTGTTTATTTGCATTTCACTTTATTGTGTATCACAGATACTGTGAAATTTTATAAATTGAAGGTTTGTGGCAGCCTTGCATCAAAGCAAGTCTATCAGTGCCATTTTTCCAACAGCAGTTGCTCACTTTGTATCTCTATATCACATTTTGGTAATTTTTGCACTACTTCAAACTTTCTTTTTATTTTTATATTTGTTATGGTGATCTGTGATCAGTGATTACAACTTACTGAAAGCTCAGATGATGGTTATTCTTTTTTAGCAATAAAGCATTTTTAAATTAAGGTACATACATTGTTTTCTGGATGTAATGTTGTCACACACTTAATAGACTTAGTAGTATAGTGTAGACATAGCTTTTATATGCCCTGGGAAACCAAGAAATTTATTTGACTCACTTTATTGCAATATCCGCTTTATTGTGATCTGGAGCTGAATCTGTCATATCTCCATGGTCTGCCTGTATAGCATCTTAACAAAAAAAAAATACATTTTTAGATAAAGGTAAAGGACTTTGAGTTTCTATGGTGGCAAATTGTGGGAAGGTGAATATATGGGGGAACTAAGATAATGGAAGATAAGAGCTAGTTAGTAAACTTTGTAGTGTAGGTTCCTTCCATGCCCTTTCTGGACTGATAAGGGTCCATATAGAGTATCTTTGGTGATTAACTTTTGTTCTTCCTGGTGAAGAGGGGAAGAGGGATGCCTTTACAAATTTATGGCCTGCTTTTGTCAAATAGGGGAGGGCAGAGAGCTTTTCTTGTATCTGCTTCTTCTCAATTGCCTTCAGCTCAAAATAATCCTTATGCCAAAGTGGCATATTTTAGGGTGACATTCTGCAACCTTCAGGTGAAATAAAGCTAAGCCAGCAAATATTGTACTGATATATAATAGAGATCATGTAGAACTATCTAAAAGGGGAAATCGTTAAGTCTGGTAAAATGACATAAGGTTTCACAAAGGCTAAGTAGAGTCTCTGTATGTATCAGTCAAACTAGACACTGAAGGATGGGTAATATTTGGCCAAGAAGAGGCAAAACTGTTCAAGTAAATGGGAATAGCATCAGCAGTAGTTCACGCCAGCACATGAGGCAGAAGGCCTCATGTAACGTATGTTCATTGGCCCACAGGAAAGTACATCAAAATGATTAAGAGAATAGGTCCTAAATTCAAGTCCCAGGTCCACAGCAGACTACCCATGTAATCTCTGACGAAGTGTTTCATCTCTGTGTGCCTTTACTTCCTCATCTGTAAAATGGGATAATGGTACCTTCCTTGCTATTGTGAGAGCTGAGTGACATAACCCACAGAGCCTGGTGTTATCTATACTCTAGCCTACCAATCACTTGTCGATATCTCTGATGTCTGATAAAGAGTTCCGTGTTCAGTAAATATGTTCTGCTGTTGCCACTGTCTTCCTTGCCGTCGCTGGCAGAGGATGGTTTCAATTGTAAAATGGTAGGAAAGTGGGGAAGAACGTTGGAAAGATGGTGAAGAGTCTTCCAAGTCCGGCAGCGGGGTGTGATGAGGTAGGAGAGTCAGGCGATTGTAGGAGTTTATTTGGGGATAACCAGGGTAGTGAGCACAAGAAAGGAGCGGTGAATACATGGTGGATATAGCTCAGAAAGAACAGTGAAAGGTGAAAAAAAGAAAGGAGTCCGCTCATACCTGATTCTCTCTTCAAAGAAGTTTAAACCTGTGACAGTTTAAGAAGGTGGTAACAGGAAGGAAAAATTTCATAGAAGAGATGGAAAACAAGGCAGTGGGACTCACAGGCAACAGATTCACTGACAACCAGGACTTTTTCTTTTTTAAGAACAGCACACTTTTACCAATATATAATTATGCATTGGTGTTTTTTGACATATTGGGTTATTTCATTCATCTAACCAACATTTATTGCACCATTTCCCAAATAATTATAATTAGAGCATGCATAGTAATACACCATTTATTAAATGTAAAATTGAGAAAACTAAATGTGGCAAAAATATGCTAAATCAATAAACGTACTCGAAAATATGAAACAGTATGTAAACTATGCAAAGTATTTGGTATAATCTGTATTCTCCAACCTTTCATTATATTAACATAGATGATAATTAACTTGGGGGCCACTAAAAGTAATTAATTCTTTAGGTAGAACAAAAAGCTTACCAAATATTTATAATATTTGCGAACAAGTCTCTTTTCATGTTCATGGTAAGTCAGCAAATTAATTGCAAGGACTTGGAGGCAGCAATAAAAAGAAATGCATTTTAAAAAGCATGTTTTCAAATTGGAAACTCCAAATGTGTTTCTTATGAAAATATGATTTAATCAAGAACAGTTTTTGCTCCTCCTAATATAAGATTATATGGAAGAAAGAATTGTCCATTTATTTCTAGCATGATTATAAAGAATGAGCTATCTTAGTCAGATTTGAAGATTAGTCACTCTTCTGAGAGTGAAGTAGCAAAATTTAACCAATAAACTTAAACATCGAAACTTTGTCCTTAGAAGTGAATGGCAATTTTGTTTTTCTGTTTTCCAAGTTATAAAATAATAACACCTTATAAGTAAATGAATTCATTTCACATTATATTATTTTTATCTGAATAGGTCAAAACTATGTTTCCTAATATCATACCCCAGACATAAATTACAGTAACCAGAATTACAGATTAGACCACCCATAAATAATGGACTTCATCCCAGTAATGTTAAAACCTCCCCAATAACATGAATTACTGAGACAATATAGGTACCATCATTCTGCCATATTTCACAAATGCTAGTAAACAGCGCACAGATGCTACTTCAAAGCCAAACAAGTGTGTATACATGGTGGACCTAAAAATAATCATTGACCTCATAAAGCCTTATCTAAGAAGAAGAAAAGAATATCTGGCTGATAATTCACTTATTTATATTGCCTTGCTCCCAACATTAGCAACATTTCAATAAATCTATGTTTATTTGAAATCAGTACTTTTTCTCTTTGTTCTCTAGGTTTCTTTTCTCAGGGGAGATTTGTGGGGTGTTCTCCCAAGTAAGGTTATTCAGTACAGTAAAGATTTGCCCAAGTCTTTAGAGCTTTTAGCTCTAAAATACTAAGGTATTTTGTATAAACTTGGGACTTTGTTATTTTAATGAAACATCTCTAGGTCTGCTTTAGGCAACATCATGCCATACTGCCGTCATTTATTCAATAAACATTTCCTTGAATTTCTAAGTTCAAGCCCTGGGTTAAGGCATTGAGGTGCAACAGAAGCTGATGCAGTAGCAACCATCCAGTAATAAAGCGCATTCTTCTGGGTGATTCTACTGACCCTCAATGACATGTCACTTCAGACAGATCTTTCACTGGGGAGCCTGCAGTTGAAATGAGTTCAACCTCTTTTCCTGGGGAGCCAGGCAAACCTGAATTCAAATTCTGGCTCTACCCCCTAAACAATGTAACTTTAGGTCATTTACCTAACCTCTCTGATCCTCAGCTTCTTTGCCTATAAAACAAGGAAAGAATGACCTCTACCTCCTCAAATTTTAGTGAGAATTAAATGAGAGCATATACACAGCTCTCTTAGCACTTGTCTGGCACTTAGCACTTGCTTAGCACTTAATAAGTGTTCAGTGTTGTGATCCCATTCATAGTAATACTATTTCAGTGAACATATCAAGGAAAACTATTAATGGCAATAATCACTGCAATTAAACCTTGGTTGACTGGAATGCCTAAGGAAAGAGGTATTTGGATTAATCTGATTTTGTATATAGAAAGCCATTTGGACAAGTACCAAATGATTTCACTCATATGTGGAGTATAAGAACAAAGGAAAACTGAAGGAACAAAACAGCAGCAGAATCACAGAACCCAAGAATGGACTAATAGTTACCAAAGGGAAAGGGACTGGGGACAATGGGTGGGAAGGGAGGGATAAGGTGGGGAAAAAGAAAGAGGGCATTACAATTAGCATGTATAGTGAGTGGGGGACACAGAGAGGGCTGCGCAACACAGAGAAGACAAGTAGTGATTTTACAGCATCTTACTACGCAGATGGACAGTGACTGTGAAGGGGTATGTGGGGGGGACTTGGTGAAGGGGGGAACCTAGTAAACATAATGTTCTTTCTGTAATTGCAGATTAATGATACCAAAATAAAATAAAAATAAAAAAAATAAATATCACAACCACACACACACAAAAAAAAAAGAAAGCCATTTGGGCATGATTCTTCATCATTCATAATCTTTCTGAATTCACTCGCAACCCTTCTCTCACCCCCACCCTCACCCCCAGGGTACTTTTGGCTTTACATTTTGCTCAGGTAGAAATATGCAGCATATAGTGCTTAAATATGCTTTTGTACAGAGAGAGACAGTATACAATATATAGATCACCGATAGATCATTAGGACTCTGTTACTGTCTCTGTGCCATTATTCTGAGCATTAGTGATTGTGGCCCACAAGTGCCAGAGAGTGGGCTTCATATGTACTAATTCCAGAATACACCCTCAATTAATTGAAGGTTCTAGTTATTTTATCCTGTAGCCCATTTGAGCCACTTACCACTAGTAATTTTTTTTTTCTGACCTCAAACTAAAATAGTCACATTTCTGGCATCAGTTCACTGGAAATAAGTGCTAAACTCACATTCTATCTGCCTTAGCAGTAAAACAAATCTCTACATCTACTAAAAATATTCTTTTAAGTAGGAGACAAAAATAAATATGTGAAACACGATAGGTAATATACTTTAGATCTCATTAAGAGTTCTTTCTAAATACAGAAACTCAGATTTGCAAAAACTATGAGCTGTCTTTATTGTGTTGAACATTTAACAAGATTTCATCAGTTCTTATGTAGAAAATGCATAACACTGGCAGTTACAAACCTGGCTTTTCTCTACAGTATGTGCTTGTTGCCCCGTAAGCCTTAAGTAACTTTACTAGGCAGAAAACCATGAAAATATTGGAGCAGGTGGGTAAAAACAATGAACCTGACTACATAAGAAATGACCAGAACACATTGAAGGCAGCCTAATGATTTGTAGAGAAATACTTTGGTAACATATTTTAATACTCTAATTGTTATTACTGAAAAGTGTCAAACGAATAACAGCTGTTATATACCAACACTGCCATTAATTTGGCTCTGTTCTCAGTCAAATGCATTTAGATTCATGTCAGTAATTACACTTAACAGATTCATAGAACCAACAAACTGCACTGAACCCAACTGAGTCTCTAATGACTTTTTTTTTTTTTTAATTATATTCGTTCCACCCACATTGAATCCCTGTGCCCCTAGGCTGCTTCAGAATCAGGACAAAAATCTATTGTTACACTAAATGTGCAAAAAGATTATTATGGATAAAAACCTTTCAGTGATTTTTAATTTAATTATACAAGTATTTATTGGGTGCCCACAGTGTGCTGAGCATGGGTGACACACCCTAATCACAGTATTGTTTTCTGATAACTGAACACCATTAACCTACTTAAGGGGTTACTGTCAGCCTTTCTCCTCTGTGTGTGCCTCTTCTGTAAGAAATAATGGCTTCTGTTGTACATGTATGTATGTCCGTGTGTATGTCTCCACTCACACAGGACCATATGCAGCATATAACATATATTTCATTTTTTTCACTTACTTTTTATATATGAAAACTCCCATTCTCTTCTTTATGCCTAGTTAATCCTCAGTCATCAGGCATTCCCTTCACATATGAACAATCTATAAAGTAGATGGTATTTTGAATATAGTTAGTGGGAAAAAATGGGGAAAAAATAGTTTAAGAAAGCAGTTATGCCTTCATTATAATGGCATTAGAAAAAACATTATAACTTAAACTTTGAATACCTGATTGTCATCTAAATCAAGAATGGGTTTCATGTACTATTTCATAATAGCTCAAAAGATGATGGTATGATTCATTTGGGAAGCAAAAAATAACCATCCTTGGTACTGCAATTAACTATGGTGGCATAATACTTTTTATTTGTTTGAACCAGTATTATAATCTACTTTAAATGTACGTTGTGTAAAAAAAACCTCTTTCTTTATCAGAGGAGATATTTCAGAGTTCCTGAATTTGAGTTAGCCTTTCCTATTCACAGAGCCCTGGACAGGGCTGCCTAGGAAGTACCTGGAGCATTGCTAAACAGATGGATGCGTACAGGTCTAGGGAGCTGCAGCACAACCTTGCTGATCCTGGGACAGGGCCCCAGGGGATTTTTCCCTGACCTGTACGGTTCTGTGGTGGAAGAACCACATTCTCAGAGTAGGCTGGGTTAGGCCGTGCTATAATCTGAAAGTCATTAATACACTGTTTTGTTTGGGTGTTTTAGTCTCTCATTTTTATAACCTAACCCCCCTCCCAATTTTTAAGCTAGTAATTCTGTCAGTAAGTGTTTGAAGTTGAAGATGTTTTCCAAGTTCCCTGTTTATTTCATCAGTATCTATACATCCCTGGTTTGAGTTGCCATCTCCTCTGATTTTTTACAACAGTATTTCTGTGAAAAGAAAATATGTTCCCTCTAGTCCTCTTTTGTCAAAAACCCTTTGCACTTGCTTTCTTTTGCCAATTGAACCTGTTTTGAAATGCATCAGTAGGGAGAGCTTGCCTATCCTTTGCTAGACAAGAGTAGCTGTAGGTGCATTTAAACAATCCAACTTGAAAAGGGGATTTCTCTCTTTTTATTTGAAAACAATAGAAAATGAAAGGTGTATGTCTCAGGACAGATTGCTTAACCGACCTTGTTCTATTGAACTTCAGTATGGTATATGAAACTGTCTCCCCTGTGTCTTCTGCAGTGTTTTAAAAAGATGCTTTACTTGTTTGAGGCAACTAGTTGTGAGTCAGAGCTCTGTCTGGCATAACCAGAATCCGTTATGCTGTTAGGTCTTGTTATACTGTTCTTTGCATCTCTTTTTCTTCGCTCAGAGTCAGTGCAGCTTTGTTCTAAGGGCTATCTGGTCCTGTTTTGAGAGGAAGTGGAGATTAGCTACAGAGATGAACTATGGCTACGTTAAGCTTGAAGTGTAACTACATTCCAGCCCCCAAAGTATATACAGCCTGTACTTTTAAGTAATCTAGGCTCAGCAACTGTGGCTCAAGCACTTGAAAACTATCCATTTTCATGTGAGTAACCATGACAGTAAATGAAACCCCCCAAAGTTACTCTCTCCTCACAAGCAGAAAGGGAGTGGTGGTGAGGGTTTGGCAGTACAGTTCCCCACCCATCCTCCCTTGGCCCCTTCTCATTTTAAGACCCCAGAGGAACAAAGTAAACATCTTTATAAGGAAATATATGGATTCTTCCTGTTAAAATCATAGGTAATTACAACCTTAGGAAAAGATGCTATATGCTCTGGACTTGAGTAGCAAACACTTCAGAAGGATGTGGCTCTTTGAAGACAAAGTACCTAAAGACTGAATGGAGCTTACCTACTAAGTAAAAGCGCAAGTCTGCATCTTGAGGGCACCATCACAGACATTGATTACTCCTACAGTAGTATGTCTTAAAGAAAAAACGGTATAATTTAAATGGAAACTGGGGCCATATGTCAGGTTTTTGTTTTTTGTTTTTTATTTTTTGCTGTGGGGTGTCGGGTGAGGAATAAGAAACTAGTTGCTTGTCTCACAAGCGTGGTAGGGAAAGGAATTCTTGCTGTGGAAGTTGTCCATTGTTCAATCTCTGGTATTCAAGAAATACCAAATTTCAGTTCACAAAATGTAAGTCCTTTGTTATAAACATCTTTTTTTCTTTCTTTTTTTTTTTTTTTTAGCTTATAGGCAGTTTCTGAAACTATCTTCTGATTCCCATGTAATACTTTTATATGATATTCATCCATAACATCATTTGGATCTTTTGAGTTAATGATGCCTCTTTATCATTCTATTGCACCTCTGTCCCCTTCCTCAGGCTGGTTGCACTGTCGCACTCTTCCTGATGATACATTGCTTCCTGGTGGGTGACATCATGATTTGCGAGCAATCCCATATATAAACAAGATGGTGAGAACTGCCTCAGCAATTCATTTTCTCTTTGAAACAAATTAAGCAGTCTCTTTCTGTTTTCTTATATTTCCCTCTACATTGTGTTTTTACAATTATATTAGACAATGTAGAAGGGCCTCTTTTCACTTCTGCTCCATTTTTAAAAAATATTTGGTTGATTCGAAATCTTCTTGGAAATGTAATACCCCAGGTGTTATAATAAACCTCTCCTACTGTATATGTTTTTGTCATGCCAGATTGTGCCATTCTACTAATTTTCTAGGAGCATCTCAGGAACATGGATACCTTTTGTTGCACATGTTTTTATTTTCACTGATGTTAAAGGGGTGTTTTATCTAGGAAAAGTGATAAGAAAGAATTTATCAAACTTTGACCTTAATTCTTGACTCGTTAGGTATTTATTCATCCATAGATATATTCGGTGTGCTTTGGTAGATGTGGAAATATGTGTGAGATCAATAGAACTTCAGTATGTTCGAAAGTGAATATGGATGTATTATTGCTTGATGATCTCATTAGTAAAGATGCCTGTTAAGTATAGTGAATGTTATAGTGTGTGTGTATATGTATATAATGTGTACATACATATAATTATATGGATGCCCACAAGTAAATGGCTATTTATGTGTATCTATGTAATAATAAAATTGACTATCATAACACATTCTTTAAACTTACATTGAACTATTTGCAGCTAGTTAGAAAGGCATACAGTATTGACGGCAGGGCCTTTCTTGTATTCCCCACCTTAGAATAAGACCATATGATAATTATTTTCAAATAGTGTTCATTTACACTTACCCACATGTTGCTCTTCATTCCATTTCAGACCATCCATCAGGAATTACCCCTTTTGCCTGAAGTGCGTCTTTTAGAATTTCATTTGGGTAAAGCTGGCAAACTATTTGAGCAAAGCTCCTTTAGGAACTCTCTGGGCCTAGACCGACCAAAGCCTTGTCCCACGCCGCCCACAAGGCAAGAGCCCTTTGGCCTTCTTGTGAACCTCACAGGAGCTTCCATTCCTATAGTCCCATCTCACCAAAGCTGTTTCTCCTGTGTCGTGACTCGTTGCTTTAAGGAATCCTCTCCCATCCTTTGTTTGCCAGCAAGCCAAAATGTTCCACCCAGCTTTGTACTTTACCTGGTTTTATTTTCTAATTTAGGGCCTTACGTCATCTTATTAGTCTCAGTTTCGGGTCACAACTTCCTGACTTCATCCTGGCTCACCCACTGCCTTTCCCCCCACCGTGCTCTGACTGCTACTTGGCAGGCTAATGCACTGCCATTGTTCAGCTTGAGCTTCTTTGTTTGAAAGAATACTGCTAGTCTCTGTAGACACCTTGTGACACTTTGGCTGGTGCCTCAGGAACCCCGCCACAGTGGATGGGTTCTGATTCTTGCACTTCAAATTCTTAGCATTCTCCTAGGGCAGTGGTTCCCAAAGTGTGGTCCCTGAATCAGCAGCTTCATCAGCAGCTTTCACCTGGATTTGTTAGTAATGCAAATTGTCTGGCCTTACCCCAGCTCTGCTGAATGAGAAATGGGGTAGGAGTAAGGGGACAGCAATCTGTTTTTTGACGAGCTCTGTAGTTGATCCTGCTGCACACTGAAGTTTAACACCTTAGAGGCCAATGACTGGACTCATCTTCTGTTTTTACAGGTGTGACACCTTAGACGGTACAGCACTGGCTCAAGGTCATAAAGCTATTTTAGTGCTAAATAGGAGAGCTGGGCATAGACCTGCCTCAGCCCACTGCCCTTTCTGCTATACTACTCCACGTTGCTAATGCTTAAAATTGTTTTTATTTAAATTTAGTCATAACAGATTATTGTACATCTGAAAATGAGAGGCTTATCTTCCAAGCTTTGCAGTCCTGTAATTTTTGATCAGTCAGAATCAAGTAGCTTTCAGTGACAAGGAGGGAGATATACTAGGCACTGGAAGTTTACAGGGGACTTAGCAGAGTCTTTGTGTTGTCTGTAGGGCTTTGATGGGTGGGTATCGCCATGTTTTTCAAACTGCAACATACCAAAGTGAACTCAAGCAAATCATTTACTACAGAATGATCATTTGTATTCTTTATGTGTTTAGTTTGTAAAGTGAATCACTGAAGAATCTCTGAAGTAGCAATGTCCCTGGTATGTTAAAATAGAATTCCTTGGTCTTGGAGAGGAGGTAGATAATGAATTACACAACTTTTAGGAACTGTTAGGAACATGTCTATTGAAGAGCAAGTGTATCTTGTATTAATTATTTACTATTAGTGTAACGTGTTCTAGAATTATCCTTATTTGTGCTACTTTAAGGCCTTTTGTTTGCTCTTAATGGATGTTCTCACAAATAAACATGTGTGAGTTTCCATTTGTTCTAGTTCCACATTTTTGCCCTCTAGGCCCTCAGGAGTATGAACTTAGAGGAAAGGAAATCCAAAGCTACTATTCCAATCATTTCTGCTTTAAATTTTATTTTCAGCAAACAGTCCTTTTCAATGATAATTAGAGGGTTGAGACTGTTTTCTTAACTAAATCGCGCGTTTGAGTGGATTGAAAAAGTTTGTGTAGCCTCTAAAGGAAGTGACTTAACCACTGGGAAACTCCTTTGGTATGATTTTATGACTGTTAAAGAAAATAGCATTAAGAAATTATCAGGAGTAGTACTACATTATTTTGAAGACCTTGTGATCTTTTACAGGTATTAATAAGAAATTTCTAGGAAATGGACAATCAAGATAGTTTATTGTTACAGATGGGTTTTATTTTAGCAGCATTGGCTACATAATTTGAGAGGCTCACAAAATGAAAGTGTGGGCCTCTCATTCAAAGATTATTAAGAATTTCAAGAAACCAGCAGAGTGTTAACCAAGAAGGGGGCCCTTCTGAGCACAGGGCCCTGCGTGATGGACTGGGTGTTTTGCCTTAATGAAAGAAGGAAACTGCACTCCTTTGTTCATGGAACCTAAATGAATATTTTAAGTTGAATACAAGTGAGAATCTTTTAACAAGAACCACTTCTAAAAAAATAATCTCTTCTTGCAAGTGACCGCTTCTATTTATTTCAAAATGTCTATCTTTTCCCATCAATTCCAGCATGATCTCTGTAGCAAATAAAAAAGAACTTTTCCCCTGAGAACTTACGTCAAGAAACAATCTCTTTCGGCTCTCTTCTGACATATTAAGAAATAGTTCTCATCTCTCTTTAAGTAGGTTTGAACATTTTTCGCTGATGAATCCTTTACATACTCTGAGCAAACAGCTTCAGATGTCTCACATATTTTGCTGCAGAGATTTCTGTTTCTCTTTTAATCCCCAGTGGTTTACGGTATCATATCTGTAGATAGTTTATACCACATTCTCTATGAGTAATATGATAGGGCTTATTGTATTGCATTCTGCAGCATTATTGTTGGGTCTGTTTGCACTTGATGCTAAGTTCACTTAGAGTAATAGCAATCGTTTGAATTTTTTTTCTGGGATTGAGTTTCCATAAAACATTAGAATGCTCTCTAGATTATCCGGGCCAGCTCCCTGCCTCAAGGTATGTCCGTATGTAACTCTGTAAGACAAATGGTTAGACAGCATGTTTCTAAATGTCCCAGGAGAAGGTAGGTGTCATCGCTCCGATAATCCTTCCATAGTGAAGGGTGGCCAGAGAAATCTGGACCTGCACTTGTATTCCTCACACATTCCATTGTTCTTGAATATAGTCATGATTTTTTTTCCTTTCATTAAAATTCTTTGGTGTACCTTATTCCTTGACTCTAGGCAAAGTGTTTTATTTCCAAACTAACTTTAATTATATTCCTGTTGAGAAAATATAAGACTTTTCTAACCAGTATGTTCTACCGCATAAAACTCTTACAAACTTTGTCGTCATGTTTGTAGCCCTTTCTGCTATGTAGACATACCTTGGTTAATCGTTATTATTGTGTATGTTTTTCTTTTTAATGAAAGCTATTGAATTATTCAGTTTTTCTTTAAAGTTCAGTGATCAATGATTTTTATATTTCAGATGCTCTTTAGTATTCAATATATTCACAGCATGCTCAGAGCTTCCTTCACTGGTCCACTGGCTCTAATATCTATTAGAATAATTTTATTTATTGTATGTTTATGTCATATTGGAAATGTTAGGAAAAAAATTGAATTTTGAATGCGAAAGGTCCTTTTTTCTTTTATCAGAAGGAAAAAATGCACTCTCCGACATTAATAAAAGTCATGCTAGCATTCTTTTACAAGAAACTCACTAAAATGACAAAAAGTATGAAAAACGTAATTAGATGCTTGGTGGAACTGAGTTGGTTGGTTTGTTTTCCTATCTGATAAATTCTAATACACAAAAATAAAATTACAATTAATAGGAAAGTGCAGTGTGGCAAATATATTGATATTCCAGGTAATATTGAAGCAATTGTCATTGTTTCCTGTGCTTACAATAGGAAAAAAATTAATTTGACGTTTTTGCAAATATTGCTGAATTTTCTTCTGAAAAATACCATAATGAGTGGATTTATTTATTCAGTTCTCAGTGATGGCCTGGTTGTATCCAGGTTTTGGAAAAACAAACATGTATTCTCTACCTCTAAGTATATTAACTAATCTATAAAGGCTTGACACTCATTAATGCTTGCTGAGGGAAAAAATTGAGTTCTAGAGATTGTGTTTTTCTCAGTACTGCATAACTTACTTTCACAAGCCCTACTTAAGCTTTGATTTCTAAATCTCTCCCCAGTGAAATCATACCTCAAAGATGTTTCATTAAAATGACAAGATAAGCTAGCTTGCATCCCTGTGCTCTAGTCGGAGCAAGGGACAGAATTCTGGGAGATCTTGCAAAGCCATTCCTAAGCTTCAGGGAAAGAAGCACAAATTATTGACCTCAGCGAAAAACTGACAACATCTCCATCATGAAGATAATAGCCAAAAGGACATGCTGAGTGCTGAGCACTGGCTTGTCTTGATCTTATATTGGCAACTCATACAGAGTTAACACATGTTATGAAGTTATGCATTTTAGAAAATATTTTAAAAGGTGTATTTTCATTGTCATAGCCTCCTGCATTGTGCAATCTTCTACTTTCGCCTGCCTCCTTCTATTTTGAAATGTTTTCTCAAAGAGTTGGTAATATTGCAGATGGCTTCTTTAGATCCCTAAATATTAGTTTGAACTATGTGAAATTGTTGCTATTTGGCCACTTTCTTTTTGGTCTATAAAAATAGTAACATCACATGGTTTAATCTAATAAAAAATATAGAATTTCCCAAACAGAAAGGTAATATCCTACTATTACTTAACCACTTTTTGTTGTGCCTGAAACTCAAATTCTGTCTTAGTTGATCATTTGCTGGTTCAGTTTGAAATTTAAGAGAATTTCCCAGCAGATTTCTAGCATTAAAAGAGATATTTCAGGTAGGAAATCTGCTCCCTGTTCACAGAGGGCCACCCTGGGAAACAGGCCTTAATGAAGTCACCTAATCTGGTGACTGGTCTCCTGTGGGTACAGTTTTTCTGCTTGCATAGTAGTTTTTCAGAGAAAACAGAGTATGTTTAGTTAATTAGCCATTTTCTTTATTATTGTTCCAAATGAATATGCCATTCTAATGAGATGAAGAGGCACTGTCATATCTTGGGTAAAGCTGGATGTCAACACGGTTTCCTGAGCCACTGTGGCCTGATCACCCCTTAAATGAGGATGGTTAATCCAGCCAGCACATTTGACTCCTCCAGGTTTGATTCCGAGCTGGAAGTGACCTCTTCCTTACTTTACTCCGCAGTGCAGGATGCACCTTAAAGTAGCTTCCTCTAGACTCTATATAAAGAAGACTTCAGCAGTGAACAGATTCTCTAAATATACTTTACCTTCTTTGTTGAAGACAGTGCTAATGTGAATGCTTAGTTACTAAAACAAATATAATGACATTTTTAAAGCCTCACAGGGTAGGTAATTGCTATAAGAATATCATGGTACATTTTTTTCTTCCTTTTCCTGAAATAGAAATCATAGTCCTGTTGAAGACACAGGAGTCTATACATCATAAAAGCATAAGTAGTGTATTCCTTCTAAAGGATGG